AGCCTCTAGACAATAACTGCTTCATGAGACCACAGTCCTTGTATAGATGCTTGACGGGGATAGCATGGTTCGGACATGGTCCATCAAGCAGCTTCTCAAAGTGGTCCGGGGTGACTTCGGAGGGCTTCTGACCCCCCTTGCGGTCGGCGGCAGCCACGAGTGAGCCCTCGCGCCACTGCTTGTTCTTCTTCTTGCTGGGACAGTTGGAGGCGCCTTCACCGGTGTCCTCGTCCTGCTTTGCCTTGCCCTTGAGGCGGTCGAAGATCGCTCTGACCGCCTCCTTGCCCGAGGCATGGCTGGTGACGATGTCGAGGAGCTCCTTGGTGGTTCGTGGGACCTTACATCCTAGCTTGTGAACCAGGGACTCACAGGTGGTCCCAGCTAGGAAGGCTCCTATGACGTCGGCGTCGGCGACGTTAGGCAGCTTATTGCACTGCTGGGAGAAGCGCCAGATATACCCACGAAGAGTTTCCTTGGCCTTTTGTCGGTAGCTTTTGAGATCCCATGGGTTCCTAGGACGCGCGTATGTGCCCTGGAAGTTTCCCACGAAGATCTCTTTCAGGTCCGCCCAACTTTGGATTCTATTGGGTGGACGGTGTTCCAACCACGTTCACGCTGAATTGGCCAGGAACAATGGAAGGATGCGGATAATGAAATCGTCATTATCCGCTCCACTAGCTTGGCAAGCAAGCCGATAATCCTCGAGCCACAGTCCGGGGTTAATTTCCCCAGAGTATTTCGGGATGTTGGTGGTGGTCGGTACCATAGTGGAAAGGCGGCGTTGAGGATGTGTTGGCCATAGGCCCGAGGTCCCGGCAAGTCGGGGCTCGGGCTTTGTTCCTCACCGCTGTCGCCGTGTCTGCCACGACGAGGGTGGTAGCCGCGGCTGGCCCCCTCCCTCGCGTCACCGCGTGCACGCCTACGGGCATCGAGTGTGTCGTGCGTGTCATGGCTGCGCCTGAGACGCTCATGCACTGGGACCGCAGTGTGCGACCTGCCGCCTCGCTGCACCTAGTGGACTGACACGTCCATGTTGGGTCACTCTGAGGGCACGCGCTGGCTGGCGTCGAGCTGGTGTTGTTGGGACAACGAGCTCTCAACCTGTTGCGCCGCCGCATGCTCGAGTAGCGTGTGAATCTTGTGACGGGCCCAACGATCCTCGGGCGTCGCGGGCCCTAGAAGTCCCTGGAGCAATGCCGCCACAGCAGCGATGTTCAGGCTCGCCCGGGTGAAGTGTGGGAGGGCTTCATCGTCCTCGATGATCCTCCGGTTCACGTCGTGGGCCACGGCATGTGCACGCCTGCCGTCTCCATGGCGCTCGATCTCTTGCTTGAGCTCCGCACGTTCCTGCTCGAGCTGGAGTCATGCTTCCTCGAGCTCTTGGTGCCGGGCCTTCAGCTGCTCCACCCATAGGTGTGGTGGGGCCCCTACATCCCTCTCGACCTCGTTGTCGAGGTTGTTCATTGGGGTAGCCTCTCCCTCGTGGATGCTTTTGACGTGTCCCTCGGGGGTACCTACCACGAAACATTCACGAGAAGGGTGATGGCTCCCCCGCTGGAGTCAGAGTCAGAGGGCAACCCTGATTCTCCCATAAGAAGGTCGTGGAAAGATTCCGTGACATATTCGGTCATCCCTATGAACTCGTTGTTCATGGGGGATGGAGGCGTGCGTTGCGCCATAGGGTGGCCATCGATCTCTGCGGCATTGCGGAGACCGAACGGGAGCGCTATTGGGGTGCTCCGGATGAGGTATTCCAGGGAGAGCGGCTCTCCTTCGGCAAGCTGCGTCATGACATTGGCGAACAAGAAGGTGAGGTGGCGTAGGTCCTCCTAGGACGGTCAGGATCCTAGGAAGGCGCCGAGCTAGCGCTCTAGACTCCTGTAATCGAAGCTGAGGAGCTGGTCGCTCCTGGGGGCGTGGGCCTCTAGTGCGTGCAGCTGTAGCTCCTCAAGCGCCTTGGCGATCGCGTCGAGGCCGATGAAGTGGAGAGGTTGGACGGCGATGAGACCCTGCACCAACCCTCCCTCCGTCATGACGATGAAGTCTAGGTTCCCGAAGCATATGTGCGCGCCTGGGACCCAACTGACGCCGTGATTAGCCATTCGAGGTCTATTGTGGATGTCGAGACGCGCAAAAGGCCCCTACCTGGCATGCCAACTATCGGTGTTTCGAGTTACCATCGACGAGTAAATTTGTATTATTGCGTGTCTGGCTCGGATGGTGTGCTTAGAGGACACGAGGTTTATACTGGTTCGGGCAGAAAGTCCATATGTCCAGTTCGTCGCTGCTGCTCATGTTACTAGCACCGAAACTTTGTAGTAGGGGTTACAAACAGGTGAGAGAGGGAAAGGATCCCAAGTCTCTAGTGAAAGGAGTGAGTGGGTGCTGAGAGCTCGATCCTCTTTCTTCTTCTTCTTCCTCCTCTTCTTCTTCCTCTTCTTTCTCTTCTTCTTCTTCTTCTTCTTCTTTATCTTTGTCTTCTCCTCCTCCTCCTCCTCCTCCTCCTTTTTCTTCTTCTTCTTTCATACACGATCTTCATGTGCTCGTCATCATTTTTCCAATATTTTTGCATCACCCATGTACCTTCTGCAAGAATATTAGAGAGAGATCACATTTGGAACATGGAGTACTTATTTGGTAGAAATAAGAGGCATGTTTTTGCATACTTCCAGTATATAAGGATCATATATATGTCGCATGTACGTGATCTTGATCCTGAGAGCATGATAAACTTCTCAACAAGAGTCAACAGGACTTGACAAAACTCAATACAAAAACAAGTAGCTTATGTAAAAAGTTTTCAACATGAATAACTAGATATGGCTCTGGTAGGAATTTTCTCACCATTAAGGAGTATGTGGAGCTAATGATTTTGACATGTTATAAAAAATAAAATTCTCCAAGACTTTGAGTAGAAAAGGTTGGATTTCTATGTCAATGCCAATTCTCACTTCACAACAACTTAGTCAATATACTTTTCTTATATGATATTTTTCCCGTAAGCACCAAGTATATCTAAGGAATAAAGATTATGCATCTGTCAGTATGGTTGGATAGGGGACGCATTGGCGGGCATTGTTGTCAAGTGTGTGCTAACTGCTAAGACGCTGCTCAGGGGGTGATATGGAACAGCTGACTGGCATACCCGCGAAGTTGTTGGCCAGTTGCTCCATGTCACCATGAGCGAGTGAGGCGTCTTAGGACAGATTTTACTGTAGCACCAATCCCAGGGCGTCCCCCGGTCCAACTTTACCTGGCTGATGGCATCATGATATTTCTTTTGACAGCTATAGTAGTATTTTAATAGATTAGAGATCTAGATGAGTAATTCTATAGTTTGGGACCTAGGTGAGAATCTAAGGATCGTCCCTATAATTAATTATGAGTGATGGATCCACATGTCGGTTCCATACTGAAGTGCCACGTCAGCTAATAGACTGTCACGTGGTTGTTTTGGACCAGGATGAGATACTTAAATAGTTTAGAGACCTAGATATATAATTTTATAGTTTGGGGACTTGAATGAGAATAATGTAATAGTTTAGGACCGTCGGTGTAATTTACTCTTTACTATTAACGTCTATATTCTTCTTATTATTAATTTGGTCACCTTTTAAAGTCATAATTTCACATTGATTTTTGACTTTGATTTCACGACACAGTCGAATTTAGTAATGAGGATTTTTGTTTGGGCATATAAATTGAAGATTGACTCTCACACGGAAAAACCAGCCAAGCTATAATACGTAGAGGACTAGAGGGTGACGACCGATTGACAATGTACATTTGACGTACCATCTACTATATTATATTTTGCAATGTGTTTTTTTTTATCTCCAAGTCCTATTATGTTGCTTCAACAATAACATAACTCCAGAGCGGTTAGGCCGGCCAGGTAGCCCATAGGCCTTGTTGGTTGAGTCTCAAGAGACCTTACTAACGTGTCGTCTGTATGACACGCTTTCGGCAAGACTCCTCCGGTAATGTGTTATCTGTATCGCGCTCGACAGCGAAGGTACAAGATGACATGTTCCTGTGTGAACTCGTGTAGAAAAGCAGTCTTAAGAGTAGGTTGGGTTTGTAATAGATTCTCGTGATGGAGTTTTATTAACTACTCTTGGATATATTTTTTTCATCCAATGTTTTTTTTTTTTGCGAAACTTTCCTCCAATGTTTTGATGTCACGTGCATTTTGCTTTTGGCTCGTGGAGGGAAATGCACAGCCTAAACTTGATGAAAAATCACCGTGTGTCAAGAAGTAAATGGGCGCCATGACTGACGGCACGAAACCACCAAGGACCAAGCAAGCAAACAAAAGAGGGAACAGCCTGAGCCAGCTAGCGCCGTTCACCCTGGCCGGCCCGGCCTGCACATGTTCTGTAGCTTCTTCCTTCGTCCGATCCGAGACATGTGTGCAGAGCAGAGGTGTGGTGAGTGGTGACTGGTGACCCGCGGCCACACCCGCCCTTTCGGTTCGGGCTTTCCCTCCAACAAGACCTCACACTGCTCACGGCTGCAGAGGAGCAGACCTCCGCACGGCCTGGCACGCGCTGCGGTCAGCAGCACTGCTGCTCGCCTGCGCTGCGTACAGCACGCACGCCACAGCCGCCGGCTCCCACTGTTTCCCCCACATAATGGCCGCACATTCCGCTCTTCCGACCACGGGGGGCCCTGGGTCCCCTCCCCGTTGCTGCCTTCTCTCCACAGTTCCATGGCATGGCATTGGCATGGCACGCACCGTCTGCACGACTGAGCCCATGCCTGCTGCAGCTGCAACCACCTAACCCCACCTCCGGCCGGCATGGACGGACACCAAACATCCCACTTCACACCACTCTTGTCTTGACTAGTACTAGTACTAGTAGTAGCTCTCCCACGCCTTGCTGTATAAAATCCGCACGCCTCGCCCTTCACCTTCCCCTGACTGGCCTCACAGTTCACACACTCCTCGATCCACGACTCCGATCAGCCTACTACAACGCTTGGAGCAGCCGGCGGCCATGAAGGTATAGCTCAGTCCTCTGTTGGACGACCAGCCATGCATCAGTGCCTTCGCCTTCCCCATCGATCGTCTTGGTCGTCTGCTGCTGATCGATAGCGTGAGGTTCGCTTCTGATGCCTTGTCTTGATTTGTGTTTTGAGAGTAGGCGCGGACGAAGGCGCGGGCGAGGCGGCAGCGCATCCCGGCGTTTGGGGAGTGGAACTACGCCTACGTCGGCGCCGGCGACTGGCCTGTCACCCAGTACTTGGACTCCGCCATGCAGGCCGGACGACTCGTCGTGGCGATACCGCCCTCCTCGCCGCCCAAGCCTGCCAACAAGGTGATCGATGATGTAGTTGCTGCAACGATCCATAGACTACATACATTTGTTTTTGTTTTTTTTTTTTTTTGTTCATCAAAACACTTGTCTTGAGCCGTTATGACGACAGTGAAAAATCTTAATGTTATTATGACTCGTACTGAAATTTGGAAGCCATGTCGTTGTTGCGTTGCTCGTATATGCTAGGTGGTGAAGTGGAGGGAAAGTGCCACACTATCACTTGAGCTGGAGGACGAGGACGAGGACGAGAAGCAGCGGCAGCAGCATGTGGTGGTGGGGCTGGGCGACCACGGTGGCGCGGTGAGGAAGCAGGGGAAGCAGCAGAGCACGGTGGTCCACGCCTACGACGCGGTGAAGGCCATAGACCAGGACCTCTACCACATCCCGCCTGACATGCTCTGCCATGATCCCAGGGTTAGTAGACCCTCATTTTCACTCGTTCACCTGGCTACTGCATGAATCCATCGTGGAGAAGTTAAAGCAGAGCAGATTTTGGCCAAAGACATACGCTCCCTCCGTATTTTAGTCATGAAAAAAAAAATCAAACACAATAGACTTTGACCATTAATTTACCATAGTATATATTGTCGATTGCTAAAGAAGAAATATCTTGCAAAGGCACTCTGAATACAAGTCTATTGGTACAGGCTTCAAATCCTAAACTTGTATATAATCTGAATAATTATCGGTCAAAGTTTATATAAGTTAAAACTTTTTTCTAAAACAACTTCCTTGGTCTAAAAAAGTAGGATCATAGTACTACGATTTGAGTTATACTAACTGTGTACGAAAGTATTAATATTTACGAGATTAAATAAATATCATTATATTTGTTAGTTTTCATAAAATATCTATTTAGTGTCAAAATGTTTCTATTTTTTTACCTACATATAATTGGTTAAATTGTGGATATGTTAACAAAGAATGCATTTTGAGTTGTATTTGCTTTAGGATGGAGGTGGTATGATTAACATTCTGGGATGGAGCAAGTATATATGATTAACATTTTGAGTAGTCCTAGTTACTCGTATGTAGTACTAGTCCTTGCCACATCACTGGTTCAGTGTGAACTGTGAAGCCAGTGTTCTTTTTTCTCAGTTATAGCTACTGTTAAGGAGTTTTTTTCTTCTTCTAATCTTGTGCAGAAACGGCTGAGGAGGAGGAGGAGCCTGTGGATGGGCTGCCTGGGTCTCAACTGCGTCGCCTAGGGATCCACCACCTGCTGCGCGCCCGACGAGGATGACTGCTCATCATGCGTCGCCTCTCGCCTGCCTTGTTTTGCGTGTAAAGACACTCCGTAGCAGAAAACCATGTCCATCATGGTGTCACTCGTCATACTACACCGTCTCCCTCCCCTCCACTGTCCTCAGTGTTTTGGTCCTTGTAGTACGCGTGGAGGAGTAGCTAGACAGGTAGTGGACGGAGGGATGCGACTTTGATGTGACCGTGCCTGCCTCACTGCCTGACGCCCCGTTCCGGCCGGCAACGTCATTTCCCCGTGCCGGAGGCCACTCGAGCGCTGCTTTTCCGATTTCCATGTCGTGCGTGCCGTTGGCTCGCTCTCTTGGCTGCAGGCTCCGCTTCCGATTTCCGGTAAACCCGGCGGAAAAGGTTGATGACATGACACCATGGCCTTGTATTTACTTGACGCAACTCTTAAAATAGTTTTCTGAGAGGAAAACAGCTCCAAAAGGCCCTTGTTCTATGGGGATTTGGAGTTGACAATGATGGATGAACCACGTCTGCCCTCTCAATCATGCTAGCTAAGGTTAACATAGTACATAGCAGTGCAACGGTGGTGCGCTAAAACTGGAAGGAGCAGGACATGAGCGCGGCCACGGGAGGTGCTCGACGTGGGCGTGGTGGCGAGCACGCTCTATGCCGTGGGCGACGTCACCGCGCAGTACAACTGCGCCAAAGGCACAGCCAGCTGTACGTATAGTAACCGTATACGTGTACATACATCACTTTAACAAGGTACCGGCAGGGGCGGATCCAGAATGAACAAATGTTTTTTTTTCTTTTTTGAGTTACTTAGAGATTCCCCGTATACGTGTACATCACTTCAACCGTATACGTGTACATCACTTGAGGGATTCCCCTTTCCCCGCCTGGTGATGATTACTTAGAGATTGGTCACTGCAGCATGAAAGAGAGAGCACAGAACCTAAGTCTGAACCTTTAGTGAAATGGTGCTACGTAGTACATGCGTGCCTGATGGTTATTGAGATGCTGCTGCTCTCTCCTGCCACACTTGGCGAGAAGGGGGGAAAAAACACACTTGGCGAGATGCAAACGGACTGACTTGCTGAACTCTTTGGGCTGCTGCTGTGCTGCATACCTGAGAGTTGGAGCCGAGCTGCTGCTGATGCCGCTGTACCTACGACACCGTCAGAGAAACAAAGAGCGTGTCGACAAGAAAACAAGCAGCTGAAGTGAAAATTCAGGTTGAAGGCACAGCTGCAGAAGGATGAAACTAAAGCAGCAGTTTCCCAAGTTCCGAACTGAAGCCTGAATAGCAGCTGCAGTTCAGATAGTGCACAGGACTCAGCAGCAATTGGAACGGCTAAGTTGAGCCAACTCAAATCTGATGGACATGTAATCTGAAGCGTGAACTCACGTCATCATGAAAAGGAAATCGCAACCGGATCCATCCAAAAATACCAAAGATTTCTTACGAATTTCGGAATCCAAGAAACCTAAGAAAGTGGGAAACTTGGGGAAATAAAAATTTCGTGGTGCTCAAGTGACAGATTTGTTAGGAGATCACCTTAAGCCTTGATAACACTTGTCCTAGCACCAAAATTTCTCAAGTAATCCGCCCTGCCCCAAAACGCAGTCAAAACCAAAGAACGAAAATTCTCTAAAAATAGCTCTGAAAAATCACAGAAAAGAAAAACTTCAGATTCGGAGAGGACATTGAGCAGAGAATGAAACTTGATCTTTCGATTACTTATGAGGTCCGATTAGAAGCCACTCCTTGCAAATCAAAGCTATGGATGACAAAAAGCTAAAAAACAAGAGTCTCTCCTCCCTCTAACCCTAGAGTCTCTCCTCCCTCTAACCCTAGCCTTCCACTACATAAAAAATGATTTTTAGTAGCGGGTTGAATTTTTTTATGGGCGACTGGTGATGGAGCCGTCCCTACAGTGCCGTGCTCAGGTGTCCAGACACTAGCCGTTCCTACAAATGGAACAGCAAGGGCGGCTGGTGATACGAGTCACCCCTCTGATTTGCAGGGGCGGCTTACTCACCAGCCACCCCCGGTGTTTCTATTTGTAGGGGCGGCTGGTGATTGAGCCACCCCTATAAATGGCCTCCGTATAAATAGCTCCGATTTGTAAGGGCGGCTTAATCACCATCCGCCCCTACAAATGGCCCCTGTATAAATAGCTTCGATTTGTAGGGGCTACTCAATCACCAGCCGTCCCTACAAAATGACCAATATATAAAACAGCTGCAACACCTTCTTTTTTCTCGGGTCACTTACTCCAACCCGTGAAAGAAAGGTGGAGAGGCCTTGGACACCTCCCAAAAATTACTCTACTAAGGGGGGAATGTTTTGGTCTCAAATCCTTTGGTGGAGAGGTTGTAGAAGGTAAGAAAATGCTATTCCACACTTTTTTTTAGTTTTAATGGTTGGTTAGTGAGTAATTAAAGTTTTGTTTTTCTCTCTCTTCTATGGTGCTTGAGCTACTTATGAAGCAAATTAGACCCAAGTTTTAAATGTACTAGGATAAATTAGGGAGGGGAACAAGATCATACCCTTATTTGGTCCATGTTTCTTGATTTTAGTGAACGATTAGTTAGTTTTATGCATGTTTCACGTGCATGTAGATCTAGATCTAGGGTTTGATTTTTTTATTAATTTCGTTTTTGTAAATTTGGACTAAGGTTTGTATGAAAGATATTAGGTAAAGTATAATTGTTGCTAATTGTTGTCTTTAACATTGTTTATTGTAATCAGTAAATATGTATTTTAATTAATTATGGATAAATGGGCAATTAATTAATTTTCCTCTACTATGGTGTGTTTGTATGCTTTATGTAATTATATTAGATTTATATTCATATATATCTGAAGTATATACAATTATTCTCAAATAATTATTAATTTGATTCATTTTTATATATATCTGAATAAGTAGTCCTTTAATGTTTGTTTTGTTGTTGTTGTAAAAGATGGAGTACAGGAACTCTTGGATGTATGATTCGTTAAGATTCAAAGCAGGTTTCCGTGAAGAGGTGGATAAATTTATTGAAGCCGCAAAGAAGCATGCAACGACATTGAAAGAGAATAAGGATACAATTATGTCCCTGTAAAGATTGCAAGAACCGTATGGCATGGACAGATGTGACTATCATCATACCACATTTGATTATGCGAGGATTTGTTGAGGATTACACAGTGTGGATTCATCATGGTGAAACGGTTATTGTTAACGACGAGGATGAGGAGGAATACAACGATGAAACCATAGAATCCCTATCCCAATATTCAGCAGAGCTTGATGCACGAATGGATTTCGAGTTTGGTAATGAACAAGGTGGTGATGCTGGTGGTTGGAATGGTAACGACAAAGGTGGTGCCAATAATGATGGTGGAGCACGTGTCGGGGATGAAGATGATTTGGAGGACATGATTCGAGCCCTTGGATCAGAGATTTTACTAAATAGCCCGAAAGATCTAGAAAATTTGGAAAGGGTGACAAAAGCATCGAAGGAGACTGTGTATGGTGTTGAAAAGGGCTGTCCGACACATTGGACATTGCTACGTTTTGTGCTTGAGCTGCTCATCCTGAAGGCTAAGTACGACTGGTCAGACTGTAGTTTCAATGATCTATTGTATCTCTTGTCATGGGTGCTGCCACAACCAAACTTAGTTTCCGCCAACACATACCAAGCGAAGAATGTCATAAATCCATTGACAATGGGGGTTGAAAAAATCTATGTATGCCCCAACCACTGTATACTTTTTCGTAGCGAAACATTCAAGTCACTGGATAAATGTCCCCGGTGTGGGGCCAGTCGGTACAACAACAATGACCTTTACGGTGGGGACGAAGCCTCCACGGGGAAAAAGAGGAATAAGAAGGGTACAAAAAAGGTGGTACAAGAATCTCAGCCCCCAGAGGACACTCCATTAGGCAACGATGCAAAGCAGAGAAGAATTCCTGCCTTAGTAATATGGTACCTGCCAGTGACTGACCGCTTGAGACCTATCTTCCTAAACCCTAAAGAAGCCGCACTCATGACATGGTGGGATGATGAGCGCAAGGTGGATGATGATAAGATTGCACACCCGGCTGATTGTAGTTAATGGCAAAGGTTTGATGAGAAGCACAAAGAATTCAACGATGACCCAAGGAATGTACGGTTTGGCTTGAGCACCGATGGAATGAATCCCTTCAATGAGAGAATGAGCGACCACAGCACATGGTCAGTGATCTTGACCATGTACAATATCCCAACATGGTTGTGTCAGAAGAGAGTACCTTCTCCTCACTATTCTTATTTCTGGCCCTAAACAACCAGGCATTGATATAGACGTGTTCCTCGAGCCTTTGATGCAAGAAATGGAGAGGCTATGGAGGCATGGGGAGCAGATGTACAATGCGTTCCGAAAGGAGGACTTCATATGTAGAGCAATAATATTTGTTACTACCAATGATTATCCCGCGCTGTTTGCTTTGTTTGGACAGATCAAAGGGAAGACATGATGCTTGGTTTGCTTGGATGGTACTACATAGGTGTACCTGGATGCATCCAAGAAGATAGTTTACCTAAGGAACGGACGCTTCTTAAAGACAAGTCACAAGTACCGTAGCAAATTGTTCTTTAGATTTTATGACAACGTCCCGAAGATTGAACCCCCTCCGAAGAGACGTCATAACGGAGAACACGTGTACAGAATGGTGAAAAACATACATGTCGTCTATGGAAAGAAGAATCCGGATGGAACGAACAGAGATAGAAGCACACCTCCTGTCGAAGGCGTACCTTTCAAGAAACAATCGATCTTCTTTCAGTATCTGCCTTATTGGCCAGACTTGGAGGTCCCCCATGCCATTGATGCTATGCACGTGCAGAAGAATGTCTTTGAGAGTCTCATTGCTACCTTGATGGACACAAGCAAGTCAAAGGATGGTCTGAAAGCACGGAAAGACATGGTGCAGCTAAACGTGATGCCACAGCTTCACCTGGTACC